GAGGGCCGAGGCAGGGAGGCGGGGGAGGAGGCGATGGGAGGGGCGGGGGAAGCCAGCGACGGAGGCATGACAGCATCTTCCCTCAGCGCCATCGCTGGGCGGGGGGCTTCCGTGTCGGCGTTTTGGACACGGAGATGGAGGAGACCGAGGTCGTGGAGGGACCAGACCTGGGAAGGAGGCAGGAAAGGGAAGGACAACCGCCGGGGGGGTTCCCGGCTTTCCAACAGGGGCGGGGCAGGAAGGAGGGTGTCGTCTTGGCATTTTATGATGCGGGGACGCTTGTGACGCGGTGCTGTGGGCCCTTCGTCCTCCTCCGTACTCTGGGTGGCTTCGTCGGGACAGGTCTTGTGCTTGACGCCGCGGCCCGGCGTGAGGCCGTCCTCTGGCAGCCGAGTGGGAGCCGCGTTCATGTCGACCTCGTAAGGTCCCGTGTCCACGCGGTATCCCAGACGCAGACATTCGGAGAGCCAGGGCAGGCGGACTACGACAACAGAAGAAGGGAGAGGCCCCTGCACGTCTAGGGCCCGGAGGATCGAGTCCGGTGAGGACTGCCGGCATATGTCAGGGTCGCAGAGAACATGCGTCACGCCTTGTGGAAGTGATTTGCCGACACTGTCCGCCACGGCTTTGGCCTTCTGAAACATGGGTGGTATTTTCGCCCTGGGAGGAATAATTTTGCCACCTTGTTTTTCCACGGCCTTCCGGGCAGCTTCAGCTATCTTGCTGCTCAGCCCCAAAAAATAAGCATGAACACCTTTGAGAAACAATGGCGATTCTCCCGATGACGGTGCCATTCTCATGCACTTTTCTGAATGGGTCAGGAATAATCGTCAACAGGGATGCTGGGGTTCATTTTCCTCCTCCAAGGTGGCCGCGTGGTATTAGGGGAGACCGTCGCTGTTCCCCCGTCGGCGACGCTGCAACTTGGGGGGTTTACATCGATGTAGCCGCGGCAACTTTCAATTATGTCTTGTATTGGATAGTTCATGATTTTGGAGAGTCATGATGTGCGCCAAGTGGTCAGGTGTTAGGGTCCATGGAAACGTTTTGCCCGTCGTGGAAGCAGCTCCGAGGCTCCCTCGAAACATGAATCCCTCGATCTTTACCTATTCAAGTGTGTTCGATTTTTCAAAAGTAGGGCATGTGATACCTGCCCTTGACATTTCCCCCCTACAACCCTGTAATTCAGTGTGACGGATGGAGGAAGACCCAAAAACACGACTTCTGCGCGAGCAGGCAGCATTTTTCCGGCAGGGCGGAGTCTCTCTCTCGAAGGCCAATGAAATGGGAGTAGGATTTCTATACGACGAAGACGGAGGTCCAGGCAATCATGTAAAGGAAAGAGAGGAAGAAGAGGAGGAGCACCCTGAAGACGTGATTCCGGACTTACCTGAGAATCGGGCCGCTCGAGAATTCTTAAGGAAAGCACCGAGGACAGGATTGTACATGCCACTCGGCAAGGAGGTCAAAGTCATGCAATGTTGGCGTTGCAAACAAGTACGTGGGTGATCGAACGTATCGTGGATATGGTCCAGGGATAAAAGATCACCAAGCGCTAGCTGCTTCTTGTGTGTGAAGGGAGAGTGGATATGAAGAATTGAGTGGGCACGAGGGGCTATAACTTGTTCTGTTTCTACCTCAGTATGGTCACAGGACAGGTGATAGAGACTGCCCCTTCTTTTTGTCAGGTGCGTATCGGATGCCAATTTTCGCATAAGAGGTACTTTTCTCATTTTCCAATTAAGAGTATGAAATAGACCGCATGCGTGGACACACGTCTCCCCCCCCCCTCAGGCAATTTGTCATCCGATGCGGCTCGCCAAGCACGCGAGGATCCCATGGCGGCGATCATGGGTCAGAAAATGTTACAAGCGGAAGTAAAAAATGCCCGGCGCGCCGAACTGGAGAGGCTTATACAAGACATTCGTCAGGAAGTGAAGGAAAAGAAGGCAAAGAAACGGGAAAAAAAGAGAAAGAAGGAGGAAAAAAGAAAAAAGAAGAGAGAAAAAAAAGAAGGCAAGGACAAGGAGGCGCGGGACCGGGACAGAAAGCATCGCAAGCGGTCACGCGTTCACAGCCCACCCACAAAAAGGCGACGCAGGAGCAAAAGCAGGAGCAGCAGCAGGTGTAGTGGAGCGAGCCTCAAGAGCAGTCCCGAGGAGTATGCGAAGACTGGCGATACCAATAACGACAAGCCCCCCCCCCCAAAATTGCGACCAGACTCATGAAAGCAGGAGAATAGGAAAGCAAGGGGACACGAAAGCTCTCGTCGGAACGCGAAGGGGTAAAGAATGTGTGCTATCAATAATTTCAGGCGTCTTGGCCCTGGGCGTCCCCATGCGTCTCCTACCTTCTGGCGTTCATTCACTCCCGGATATGCCCTCCTTGACTCGCTCTCCCTCGCCCTACCCCACCTTTTCCCCATTCTGCCCGTGTTGGGCGGCGGGAAGAGAGACCAAGCAGAACCCATGTTGACATTCCCAAACACCCACCCCCGCCAGGCCCCTCTATGTCGCCGACTCATCCCTTCCTCCGACCCACGGAGGGACCATAGACTTCCACCTCTGTGGTCATCCTTCGCCTTCGCCCCTCCTACTCCTGCCTTAAGTCTCCGAGGCACTTTATGGCTGCGATGCGCACCTCTCCGAGAGCCCCAGGACCAATCCCTCCTCGATACCCTCCCCGTTCCCCACCGCCACCGATCGGTCAAACTCTTCCAACCTGTGGACCGGGATCAGTTCGCGAAGACTGAGCACCTCAAATTCCGGCTGCACGCTCTCCAAGCCGTATTGCAACGGGCTGTTGGGCAGCCAGGGTTCTAGAAGGTTCTTACGGTAGTCCTCGATGGCGTCCGAGGGGGGCCCGCGGGAGACGCATGCCACGTGGCCATAGTCCAGGGCCGAGAATTTAAATTTCCAATCGGGGCGCTCGGCGCCATCGATTCGGAGCATGGAAGGGTCGTATGCTTCTTCTGTGTACGGTCTCTGCTCATGGTCCAAGCCTGTGATCTCGATGCGCCGGGGGGAGAAGGAGAGTCCGCTGCCGATGGCCTTGATGTAGGCCTCCTGTGCGGCGCCACGGGGCAAAATGGAGCAGGGAATGGGAGGGGATGAGTCCTTGAGCCCCCTAATTAGAACCAGGACAACTCACGCCCTTCCGCTGCCGCTTTCCTCCCCCCTTCGACCTACCTTCAACGCCCACTGCCGATAAAAGCGCTCCAATTTGGTCTCTTCGCTGGGGGCCTCGTAGATGGATCCCCATTCCGTCGCGCTCAGCTGGCGATGGAAAGACTTGAAGAAATCGTGCGCCCCGCGCTCTCGCCCGCCCCCCCGAGGCTTCTCCTTGGCGTTCATGATGTCCAGGCCCACCAGACAGACGGGCTCGGAGGCAATACCCACGAAGTCTCCGTGGTGCGAGACGTTGTAATTCCAGTTGGGGAACGGCACCTGGGCCGTCTCCTCCTCCCCCGGCACCTCCCCCGGGTGCGTCGGCGTGTACTTGAAGAAGGGCTTCCCTTTCTCCGTCCTGGAGATCACAATCTCCGGGTAGCTTACCCCGAACGTCCACGCGATCACTGCCCGTTGCAAAAGCTGGCTGCCCAAGGACAGGCGCCGGTCCTTCTCGAAACGGAAGCGTTGAATCTTAGCGGCGTCTTCGGCCCGGAAGAGAGAGTAACAGAGCTTCCAGGTGGCGGGGGTCATGTAGGCCTCCTTCATGTTGACGACAAGGCGGGCCATGCCGTTGCTGATCATGGGCAGGAGACGGGGCGGGAGGGTGGGAGCAGAGGGGTCGGCGCGGTAGGAATAGTCTTCGCGAGGTTGCAACAACTCTTGCAAGCTCAGGCGCCGTGTCAGGGGGGGAGGGTTGTGGCGGCCCCCCATTGTCCCCGCGGTGAAGGAGGCGCGTCGACGGCCGGAGAAAGAGGCGGAGAAGGAGGAGGTCGAGGACGTAAAATGCGCCTTGAGCGCTCCCAGGGTGGGGACGTGCTGGGGGGTGGAGGAAGAGGAGAGGGACGCGTCCAGTCCCCCCGACTCGAGGCCCCTGCCGCCTCTGCTTCCGCTTAATCCCAAGCTTGGAATTGCAGTTAGGCTCCTGCTGCCGCTGCGCCGCAGGGCAGGGTGATAGAAGCGGTCATTCCCAGTGAGGGGCATGGAGGGCGGGCGAGAGGGAGGGCGAGAGGCAGAGTTAGGGACACGGGGCTTCCCACCCATGGAAAGGGAGCGAAGAGGAGCACGGCTGGAGGGAGGGGTGGCGGTAGGCAAGGGGTCGGGAGCAGCGGCCGCTGTGTTGGGAGGGTCGAGGCCTGTACCGAGGGTGGGGGCGTGCGTGCCGGTCGCCGACCTGGGTGCCACGACTAAAGAGGCGGGCTTTTCCGTCTCTTGCGTTTCTTGCTTGCTAGCCTGCGCGTGGGAGGGTGGGTCCTCGCTCGACTCGGACGGAATCAGGCCCAAGCTCGTGTCCGTACCTCTCTTCCCGGGTGAGGAGATGGCGGGATTGGCGGCGGTCGTGCCCACGCTCTGGTCGTGCGGGGGGGCTACAGTGGATGGGGAGGATGGGGCGATCGCTATAGTTGCGGAAGTTTGGGAAAGAAATTCGACGTCGAGCCTGCGACAACTGGTGCTTTTTTGCGAAGCTGCTACTTGATTCGTGGCAGCACATGTCGCTGTGCTGCTGCCTTCGATAATGGTGCCCACTGTGATCGTCGTCGTTGCAGTGCAAGTCGTGGATGTCGCTTCTAGTGACCCGTCCAACTCTTTCTTGTATGCATGAAGTGTATTTATCGTCCGGGCACGGATCCTTTGCCGGGCGCGACGGATGGAGGTGGCGGTGAAGAGCAGGGGGAAACAAGACGTGGGGGGAGGTGCGACAGGCGACACAGCCGGTTTCGACATGCCCCTGGGGGTGAGAGTCCAGCAAAGAATAAAATGAACCAGGAAGGTTTTGCCGGGCTCTTACAGGCCTGACAACCGGCACGGCGCCCTGCCTGTGTGTCGAATTTGGTTGCGCGTTGGAATTAATCCGAAAGTGAAGGAAGGGAAGCGAGCGGGGGGCTAGAAGTAAAAGTCTGATCGACTGTCTCTTTACCGATTAAAGAAGGCTGCACACGCCAAAAAAGGCAAAAATACAACGCGACACACATCCATGCAATCCTTTCAAGGTACCTCAAATTTTCAAGATAAAGAATCGACGACGGGAAGAGGGTGATAGGACCGTGCCGCACGAGCGCCGCAGAGGGATGCCGGGAAGGAAGGTGGATATGGGCCACGGCCCCAACAACGCTTTCGCGCCATATTTGGGAGCCCCGGACATGCCTGGGGAAGTAAAATATGCCTCCAGTCCATGAACCCAACCTTTCATGTCGTTGAAAGGAACGTTCCTGCGGACCATCTTGCGGTGCTGTTGCATCCGTTGTGTTCCACTCGTAAGTGGCCATCGACAAATTTGTTCTTGATCTCACGTACAGCTCATCACCCCACCTTTCCACAGCCTTCGTTGCTGTCTACTCAGCCCCTCCGCGCAGATCAATCATGCTGGATGCTTGGTACATGGATGATGATACTACGATGGATCAACGGGAAGAGCACCGTCTAAAGCCAAATAAGCCGGCGACGTTGGAGGATCTTCAAACATTGGGCGTCCTGCATTGGACTTTTGACGCAGATTCGTACAAAGACAGCCCTGAGTTTGCTGTACGTGTTGATGCAAGGAATGTCCGGACATGGACAGCAAAAGGATGGCACCGTGTTAGCGAGCTGAATAGACATTGTAGATGTTCACATTGTATATAATTAAGGAGCCTTACATGAAAAGGAGAGGCAGGAGTCTTGTTTCGGGTGACCCCTCAAAGTTGGGGAACTATCTCGCTCACATGAACACATTTCTTTCCCAACATTAGGCTATGCGGGCCGAGCGGGGATACGATTATGAAGATACTTGCACTGTCTCGCGTGAGACCATGCCAAATTATGAAGAAAAAATCAAGAGTTTTTATGAGGAGCATATTCATTCGGATGAGGTACGTCAGCAGTACGGGGTGAATTCGCTGGGTGAGATAGTAAACAGAGATGGATGCATCACAAGAATAGAGATGATCTTAAGCAATGTTGTAGGGTGGCGATGGATGGTAGGCTAAGGCAGATGGGGAAGACTGTGTGGTTCTTACTTTCTGACCTCTCTACCAGAGAAACGCTTGTGTGCATTTCACCCCTCTATTTGGTTTAGAAGTCCTTTCCCGTTTAACTGGAAGACTGTCGCTACATTGTATGTCTACAGGAAATTCGTTACTGTCTGGACGGGTCTGGATACTTTGACGTGCGAGACGGCCAAGACCGATGGATTCGCATCAAGGTCGAAAAGAACGATTTGATTGTTCTTCCGGAGGGCATCTACCACCGGTTCACACTTGACAACAAAAATTATATCAAGGCTCTGCGCCTCTTCAAAGGCGTACCGATCTGGACTCCTTACAACAGGTGCGTGAGTAGTTCCATACAAAACGACTGTTTTTGTACCCAATCTGTGCAGCATTTGTCGTCTTTCCCTTTGTATAATCTCTCTCCCGAACTTCAGTACGTCGACACATCTCATAAGTATGTGCTTGATACCTACAGGCCGCAAGAAAATCACCCTAGCCGAACTAAGTACGCGCAGAGCTTTCTTCAGCAGCAGCAGCAAATGGCCGCATGAGGGGATTCAATAAGTTTTGTTTTAGCGCGAAAAATCCACACAACGTTGCAGAGTCACAGGCGTAGATTCATAGGTCATTGAAATCGTGATGATCACATTGATAATCAAAGTTCGTCGTCGTGCTGGGATTGTAGGGAGAGGGAATTTCGTAAACGATTGTTTAAACTTTTCCTCATTTAACATCTAAAGTAAAGGAAGGCCTGCTCGATATTCTACTGCACGCATTGTATACACTATGTTGATAGTCATGTAAATAATTTGCTTAAACCTGGCGTGACCTTGTGAGTAAGCCGTCAATTCCTGGTAGATGAATAGTGAACCTCCCCACTCTTTCCCCCCGGAAATTCTACATCTAAGCTACACGTCTGCGAATTCGTTGACGACACTTGGGCCTGTCTGACGGCTAACTTATTTACCTCCTATGTGCGACGTACTGCGACGGAAATTATGCCTGTGCCTCACTGAAGGGAGCGTGGTGTGAAGCATGCTTCGATCGCTTAGTCGCACGTCTTCGCTCTCGCCTCCTTTTCACGACGCGAATTTTGTTCATCAATATCCCGCCGTCTCACGCAATTCACGCCCGAATTGGCAGGAAATCGCCCGCATACTCCGCCCTTGCCGTCCTACACCCGTGGCAATGCTTCACCGGATCACTATGGCGCCCCGGGTGCGGTCATTGGTATCTCGCCGTCCGCTTTCTACGGCAGCCTCGTCGCCGCCTCCGCCGAGCGAACCCGGTGCTGCCGGGACGATATTAGCCGGTCCTATAGCTTACAGCAAGGCCCTGTCGCTCTTCCATTGGCTGGTTGGATTTACGATGATCGGGAGTGTTGGCGCGGTAAGTCGAATGCCATTTCTTCTCTCCTTACGCGTCTAACCGGGACGTTGTTGCTCGTATCCCACCCTCCCTGGCCTCGGTGCAATCCCTCCCTTCACCATTATAATGGCGCTATGAGTATTATTTCCCCCAGCATCCGATCCTCTGACATCTCACACGCACATTGTAGGTCCTGCAAGCTCAGCAAGTCAAAGGCAAGGAGAAAGGTGTGTGGATGCACAGGCACAAGTCCCTTGGCCTTTTGGCAGGCATGCTGGTGGCTCCTCGGTTTATCTTCCGCCTGACGTCCAAGGTCCCAGCGCCTATGAAAGAATGGTCGACCATGGAGCAGCTGGCCAGCAAATTCACACATTTGAGTTTGTACGGCCTGATGGTGGGGATGCCGGCGACGGGGATTGCGATGGGGTGAGTGGCGCGCGAGATCGGAGCTTCATGGGTTTCCTCTAAATTTGAATCATGACAGTGAAGGGAAGTAATTTGAATGCCTTGGCTATCCCATTGCTCCAAGTGTCTTTGAGATCATACGCCAAGTTTACATGACGATTCTCCAAACCGCCCATGAGGAAATATCAATGGTGCGGTGGGTGGCATCCCCCCTGTTTAGGATTGAAGTGACAAGCGTGTCTAAGCAGGACCCAGACAGGACGATAGCACGGGGCGATATTGTGCTGTGCGAGAGAATAGGAGGTGGCATTGGGTTAAGCGTGATTGCAGTGTCTTCAAACGCATCCATCTGGGGACAATCGCATGACTCTCCATAAATTTTCACTGACGACGCGGGCATACACTGATTACCATGCGTGCCCCTCGATCCCTCCGACATCGCACAGCTATTACGGCGGAAAGGGGCTTCCCTTTTTTTGGACGAAATTCGACGGTGCCGCGACCGCGAACGGCGAGGTGGCCAAGCAGGCTTTCAGCATCCACAAGACGATGGGGACGTACGGCAAGTACCTGATCCCCCTGCACATGGGGGCGGCCGGCGCACACATGGCGCGGGGACAGGCCATCTTCTCCAGGATCAATCCCTTCCGCTGAACCGAGCTGGTTTGAAAAAGGGGAACCGTTGAAAAGAGCTGGCTTGAAATAAGGAAAAGGGTAAATGGGCTTTGAATAAATCAAATCGGGAGCTCTCCGGTCTGCCTGAATGTCTGCGCACTACTTTAGTCGATGGAATAGAAGGGGGATACGATCGCTGAAAGCGAAAAGTTGAAAAGGTACACATGTAGAAGGTTGGCGTTTATTATATTTATGAACTCGTTTTGATGAAAAAAGAGTAAAACGAAACGGAAAATAATGAAGGAGGTACCGATGGGGAATACTCTTCTTGTGTAGATTTCATGGATGCGGTTGATCAAGACGGGCTGCCGGCGATTGGAGCCATCTTCGCTTCTTTTTTCATATCTTGGAACACGCGACTTACCGAGTATCTCTCTTTCAAATCGGGAAATGCTCCCTTACATTGATCCCTGAACAGCTATTCTCTTCTTTTTTGCTGCGACGCGTCGTAAGTTCCGCGCGTTCGATAGTTGACAGGGGTACCGCGACCGAATTGCGGTCTACAAAAAGGGAAAGAGACGCTTGTAAAGCTTCGCCTCCGATTTTACGAATTGCTCGGATAACATCCGCTCGACCTCGACGCGAACAACTTCTGCTCGACGGAGATCGCGCGCATCCAGGATTAAGCGTTTACGGAGATCGCTATGGCACATCCAGGATGATGAGCATCCTGGGTGCGGGCATGGGCAGTAGAGGGGACGCCGACAGGGAAGGGAGGTGTGCTGCGGGAGGCGTTCCTCTGGACCGGCATCACGGGACAGGCACGAGCAGTGGAGGGGAGTAGAGAAAGCAGTACATAGTAAACTACCCGGCGGTTTGCGTGGTGGTGGCAGCTGCTAGTGCCACGGCTTACACTGTCTCTAGATTCGACGAGAGGGAGATCGTGCGCATCCAAACTCTGGCGGTGACGGAAGCGCCCAAGCGAAACTTTTGAATTGCACTCGCTTTCGATGCACTCAATTTCCGCTGCCGGGGCATGAGTGTTCTTCGTCACCGCCAGAGCCTATGCGCGCGATCTCCCTCTCGTCGAATTTAGAGACCGCGTAAGCCGTGGCACCAGCAGCTGCCACCACCAGACACACAGCTGGGTAGTCTTCTATGTAGTGCTTTCTTGACTCCCCACCACTGCCCGTGCCCGTCCCGTGATGCCGGTCCAGAGGAACGCCTCCCGCAGCGGAGCGTGCATGTACTTGTGCGTGAGCACCCTGGCACAGTGTCTTGCCAATACAAACAAGATTGAACGCACACAGCACAGAGAGGTAGATTGAACGCACATAGCACAGAGAGGTAGATGAAACGGGAACGGATCAACATGCCTCTCATAGAAAGCAGTCGCGTGTGCTCAGAACGCACCCTTGACGTCCCCCACCATCAAGCCCACGCTCTCTTCATGCGAGAGACCATACATTGTACTCTTTGCCGAGCCCGCCCGATCAGGCACCACCGTCAGCTTTCTGCATTGTTTCCAACGGCGAGGTGCACAATTTCTGCAATCTTTCGAACTCAATCCACTCACCCACTGTGGAACGGCACGATTATTCGTTCCTGATCTCTTGCAAGTTTTATCTAATTGTATAGTGCGTACCTGAGGGAACCAAAATTCTTTGTCTAAATTCCTCTGTCCGCTACCAAATGATACGCATCTAGAGATGATCACAGCAATCAATACGTATGGTATGGACTTGTATATTTCTTGGATGTATTCCTTGTGATAACTTGTTCTCGGCGTTCTCAGGCTGGCGATCCGGGAGGATACGCCCCATGACTTCCGTCGCGGAAGATGCTGCTCTTTTAATGCACTCTCATGGCCCCCAATGGAAAAACCGGTGTGTTATATGTAGTCTTTCATTGGCCTAAACGCGAGACTTCAATTGCGTGCGAATCAGACCCTTACAGCCCTCGAATGCGTGGTCGGATGGACGTGTACGTCAGCCGCCAAGAGTTGGTAACTAACAGCAAAAGCAGGGGAAAGGGGTAGGTTGTGCGGGGAGCACGAACCTGGAAACCTCAAAATTCTTAGGACAATGACAGACGGACAAAAAAATATGGGTACTTTAGGATGTATTGATTAGAATGCACGTCAAGAGGGGCATCGTGTGAAGAAAAGGAAGCTAAAAATGTAGAGTTTCCTTGGAGTGTTCCTCGATGGATTAAGTGCTTGATTTCCTCAACCGCACGCACCGATTGCACTAATCAAGCGGCGGAACTTGGTCAAACACCATGAAAGTGGGGTTCGTGGCTTGAGATTGAGAAAAGGTATCATATCAAAAATGAGCAAGGAAGAAAGCACAATTCAAAAGCAACTTGATGTCGGTCTGGGCTGTCTAGTTATGCTGCCTTAGACTTTTAATGGCTCTTGTGGGGTATTCAAGGCACCCATGGACCTATTTTGCTGTTCTCTTACGTCTCGGTCTCTCCTGGTGCGTCCCGGGGCCCTTTTGTCTCCGCAAACTTCTCGTACATAGGAAAAGTAAGGCCTCCATGACAGGCGTGCACAATTCCTTGCTTCGAGCTGGGAAAACGTGGTATTGGAGACCCTTCCAACCACTTCCACTCCCCTCCGGACGGCCCTTTTTCGACAACGTGCCCCTGTACAACATCCTCCCCGTGTCGCATCCCGCTTTGTTCCCGGCCTCCCCCGCCCTGCCAGGACCCTCAAGACGACACGGCTGTCAGATGACATCCGAGCAGTCCTCGCCCGCTCCATGCGTGTGGGATCAATGACATGACCACGGTCTCCTTCCTCGGCGCAGACGACGGGCCTCCGGCCGAAGCTTCTTGGGGTCGTTGCACTTCCACCCGAAGCACGCGCCCCTCGTTTTCCTGGACCAAGGCTACGATGGCCGCAAAGTTGTTGTGATTCTGGGCATTCACAGTGCCCAGAGAGACGAGCAGATCACCATTTTTCAACCCCGCTTCCTCTGCCGGAGAGGCACGAAACACTTGATCTATGACCGCGAATGGCTGTTGACGTGACGGTCCCCCTCCTTCTTCCATGGACCTGTTTTCCACCTCCATACATGCGGTAGGCTTAGGAACTGTCTCGACTTGAGATTCTTCCGTGCGGGTGTATGATAGAGCCCCAATATCCCTCCCAGTGCTGCTACTTGTGCTCCAATTGTTGCTCATTCCTCGCACTCCCGCGCTGGTCTTGGCCTCCTGATGAAGCCGTTGAACCAGCTCCTCGATCCGTTTCATGAGCTCTGCATGATCTGTGTCGATGCATGCCAGGCGATTTCGTTTCACCCGTACATCCCAAACATCGATATCCGCTCTTGGAAATCCCTCTGCGTCCACAAGCGGCACTCCGCCCAAGCCCGGGGGGGCAGCCCCGCCAGGCCCAGGTGAAGTTAGGAAATCCTTGATGACTGCAGCCTCGGTCTCAAGATTATCACGTTCTTTAATGAGCTGTCCGGTTTTGGTGACGCAAGAGGGTGTTGGGTACTTGTTCCAGGTGCTGCAAGCTCGCCGAGACCTCCCCACCCTAAGGACGCACTACGCCTATGCCATTCATTCCTTTATGAACACAACCACCCTCCGACTCACCTCCTCCAGCTCGGAGCGCGCGTCATTATGCATTTTTCCTGCGGTGAGTATTATGATGCGAGTGAGACCGCAGAAAACTTCGCAATTGGTACAGTTCCAGCTATTACCCCTCGGGGAAAGTCTCGCCAAGCTTTGTCGCTAAACCGCATGCACAGTGCAAGCATCAAGTAGATAAAAAGGCAGTTCTACCATTCGCCAAGTATTGCTCTCCTCCTCTCACGTACACCTTTACCAAATTCTTGAGGTCAGGGATTTGGGGCTACAACGGACTGAGACATTGCATTGTCTCAGCAGGGTTCCTCCTACAACGGACCGACAGACAAAATCATGCGCCTGCGAGTGAAACCGGGTCTTAGGCATTGCTTTGTCGCCCTCCCTTCAAGTTTCACTCATCGCCTCCGCGAAGACGCCGCTGTATCTTCCGGTACGGTGGTACTGGAACTGCAGTGGACGGGACTTGACGGCGAGAATTGTCGGGCTTTCGTCTGTTGGAACGGGGCCGTCTCAGGTGGCAAGATACGAGGGAGCGATGCGGACAATGCTGAGGTCTTGGAGATGGATGACGCATTCGCGCGATGCTTGGGCTTGGGGCCAATGCTGGCAGTCTACAGAAATGTGCAGCTACGTGTCCAACGGGCACTGGTGGTGGAGTTCCCACGCCGGGTGGAATTGGAGCCTTGCACGCCAGACGACTGGGAGCTGGTGGAACTGCACGCAGGCTATTTGGAAGCGGAGATCTTAAGACAAATTGCCGTGGTGTACGCGGGTCAAACCCTGCCGATCTGGATCCACGCGCAGAAGCTCGTGCAATTGCGTGTCGTCAATGTGTCGTCTAGGGCTCCGCAACGCCTGAGCACTTCCACGGAAGTTGTGGTCGCTCCCTGTCTCCGGCCCCCGCCGGTGGCCCATGCCCACCCCTTCCCGGAAGATGACGCCCCCCCCGTCTTTCTTGCGAGCCCGCCTTTGCGCGTGCAGCCCCAGCCTGCACGTCGCCAGCACTGGCCCTTCCAGGCCCAGACGGTGATCGCACTCCACCCCTCCACCTACCGAGCGGCCTTGCGGAACCCAGCACCCGCTACCGACCAGGCCTTGGCACGGATAAGCCAGCGGGTCAGAGGAAGGGGGAATAGGGAGGGTCAGAGGGAGGGGTGTGGGAGCCTGGTGACGGGCTTCGAGGAAGTGGGGCCTCGGGGGGGGGAGGGGGGAAAGGGGACGAGCGATACGGACGAGAGG